AAAAAAAAATACGCACAAACTTAATTATTATAAACTAAGCCAACTAATAATATAACTAAAAACATTGGAAAATTAAAAGTATTTGCCCTATTTTCTTAATGTTTTAATTACAACTATTTTCCATATAGTTAAAATCTTACTTGGAAAAAAATATTAGTTCTAACTCAATAGATATATAGCTGGATTAGTTATAGCTTAAGCTATACCAAATAACATACTAAAAATAAAAAAATATACATCATTAGTATATTTAATTGTCAAATATTTATGACAATTTTACAAAATTAACTTTGGATACACCCAGGTACTTTTTATGGGATCTGTGCCCCGCATAAACTGCCTCCTAGCAATTGTTCCTTCTTTGAAGGTTAATGATTATCTCAAATCTCTAGCAAAAGCTAGATATGTTTGAGAGTTTCACGTAGAAAAATCTACCAATATGATAAACTAAATAAAGGTGTTTCAATTGTGCTTACACTACCTTATAACTAAAATTCGCCATATCATATTCAATAACTAGCAACAGTAAAGCTGCATAGGGTCTTCTCGTCTAACTAGAGGTAAACTGTATCTGCACAGTTATTCCAATTTCACTGAGCCAATCATTGAGACAGCTGTTGTATCGTTAAATCATTCATGCAAGACCGCATTTAACGGCCAAGGTATTCCGCTACCTTAGGACCCTCATAGGTAAGGCCGCCATTGATCGGGGTTTCCTTCGAAGCCAAGCTTATATTAGTCAACTTAGCAAATCCGTTAACCAGCCGACATCGGGCAGAAATCACACTCAATACTTTGATTTATTATCTTACTGCAGAGTGCTTTGTTTTAATTAAACAGTCGTACAACACTATTCCATGCTTCCTATTCTTAACCTAATATTAATTAGGAGGAATGGCTCTCCTTATCCCGAAGTTACGGTAGTTAGTTTGCCGAGTTCCTTAATGATTGTTCACTCAAACGCCTTCGTATTCTCTACTAGCTTACTGGGGGTAGTCTTTAGGTACGGTCAAATCCATTGTCTTGTCATGCATCTTTTTTAGTTTATTACAACTTGACAACTAGATGTATCGATGTTTTTCCAGAACCTTCTTCACTTTCTTTTTTCAATTAGCCAGTTTCGCAGGTCGCAGAAGAAGGTTGTTACTACTCGATAGAGATTTTTTGCTCATCGTTTATTAATCCTTTAGGTTGGTAAACTTAGAGGCCGTTACTTTATTAAAACCATAAGCTTTAGGCGAGGGTTATCCCTTTTTCGTTACTCATGTCAGCATTCTCACTTGGGTTATCTTATATTCATTCTTAAAAAGAATAAGTCCTAGATTTACCCAACGTTCTGCTACCCCATTAAATATAATAATAAATTATTAATAAATATGGACAAGGTGTCGGTATATTGTTTAGATCCGTTAAATTTTCGGTGCAACTATCAATATAAATAAGCGTAAACTTAATTTATTAAACCAGTGCTCTGTTACGAGATCTTCAAAAAATGGACCGCTTCTAAGCCTATTTCCTAGTCGTATTAGATAGAAACTTCCTTAATTTCACTTAACAATAATTTTGGAACCTTAACTCTTGTTCTGGGCTGTTTCCCTTTAGACATACAACCTTATCGTACTATGTCCGATTATTCAATATTCATCATTGCCCTTCCGAGTGCGAATACTCACCGATAAAATCTTCACGATTGCCCGATATATGCAAAATCACCCATTATACTATAGCTACATTGTGTGTAGCAATAGGATAATATGATAGAAGTTGCCTGAGATCACAGTTCTGTACCTGCTATGATGTACCTTGAATTACCTACTTATATAGGTTTCGCAGAAAACCAGCTATCCTAGTCAGTATTGTCTTTCACTAACTTACCACAGTTCTTCGGATATCTTTACAACGATAAACCGTTCGGGCTTTTATAACCCTGACTGTAGTAATATCACCAGGCTTCGGGTCTAATTTTAGATACTAATTCATTATTTCATAATTGGTTTATCTGGGCATTACTGCTCGCATCTAATATTAACTCGCTGACCCATTATGCAAAAGGTACGCTCTTACTTTTTATTTAAATTTTACTCGAGCTGCTTATAAGACTACTACTTCAAACCTTTCCCTCACAGTACTATACGCTATCGCTTATATATTATATTTAGCCTTAGAGGAAGGTTCCCCTTTATTCAAACAGGTTTTGCCCGTTTTACTTTTTCTAATCTTACTACGCTTTATATTATAATTTTTATTAATAATATACCGGTAAACCATTAGGCTCTTCTTCTACTTTCATTCTCACTAATCATAGAATCTCGTTTGATTTCTTTTCCTGAAGTTACTAAGATATTTCAATTCACTTCGTTTATAATTTAATTTATCTAAGAGTTCATGTTTAATCGTCGGCCTGTTTTTTACCTTTTTTATTATTATTCTTATAAAAAAGAAACAAGGGCTTTTCGTCTTTTCTTTTTCATATAAAAAAGAAAAAGAAAATAGCGGCATCCTCCTCTCCCCTCACTAAAGAGGGGAGATTGGATATAAAGAACAACTTAACAATTTCTTCTTTTACCGCAAAACAATTTAATTTAAAATTTAATTTAATTACTCTCTTTAATATATAGCTAGGTATCCGTAATAATCTCTTTATATACTTTCCTATGTAAAATTACATAGAAATTCGCCATAGATATCATACACATTACTAATATGTTTATAAAAAAAAAATATTTTTTTATATTTTTTTTTTTATCGGATTATTATGATTCGAACATAACAGATCCTCAACCCAAATGAGGCGCCTAACCAACCTGGCTCTAATCCGTTTTATTTGTTTTTTACTCAATTAGTGTTAAAGCAGAGAATATCCGATTTGAACGGATGTGATCTATTAAATCAAATAAGTTTCAAGCTTATCACTTTAAACCACTCAGTCAATTCTCTATATGTAATTTAATGGTTAAGATATTTAATATATGTAATAGAAGCTATTAAATTAAAAAACACATACCTATAATTAATACCTTAAATTAAAATTTAGTTCTTTCAAGACTTGAACTTGAATAACATCCTTATCAAGAATACGCTCTACCAGTTAAGCTAAAGAACTTTATTTTATAATATTTTTAACCTCTATTTTTTGACTCAGTTTTACTACTGATACATTATTATGTATATAGCCTTATTGCAAATTAAAGGATGTTAAACCTATCCCCCCCTCTAGAATATTTAAGATAGTAGTTTATCCGCATATATAGACCTGGACCTATATAAGGAAATATATTCACTATTTGTACGTCGACAATAAAATCCTTCACATATAGGGAGAGGACAATGTATCAATTTAACAGGTGTTATACCTTGTGCTCCATAAACAATCGTTTAGTGAGAATGATAAGAACCAAACAAAAAGGTTAATAATATATTTTTAATTTTTCATGCAAGAGCACTCAGATTTGAACTGAGAAAGTGAAGTTTGAAGCTTCAAATTTTACCATTAAACTATGCTCTTATATTTAATAAAGTTATTATTAATATATAAACCTTATTGTAATTTACGGAAAAGAGATGATTCGAACATCCAGGTGCATAACACAATATTTAGCAAATATCTCGCTTTACCAATAGCAACTTTTCCTTATATAAAATTTATAAAATCATATATTTTATACTTTATATATTTAAATATATAACGACTAATTTACTTGTTCTATATTACCACTTATGGTTACTGTTTTATTGTATACAGTACGGCTATATGCAAAGGAACTACCGTTATTATGAACATCAATACAAAAAGAGGTTAACCGCATAAAAGTATAATATAAATATGCTTATACTTAATTGTTATTTATTATAAAGGATTATACAGATCCTTAAGCGGGTTTAAGCGGATAAATAATATAAATACGGCCAGCCGAATTCGAATCGACACAATTCGCTTGGAAAACGAAAGGTCTACCATTAACCTATGGCCGTTTATTTAAGTTATGTTTAAATAAAAACAAAAAAAAAAA